AATGAACAGAGCTGAGGTACCCAGCTCAAGATACTATATGGGCCATTACCACCACCACCCCAGACCTCCTCATCTGCAGTCCTCCCTTCTGCCTCCATACCACCCTGGCTGGCAAACAGACAAGAGCTGTTATTGCTGGTCTGGACTATTTGCTATTTGCTAGCATGTACCCGTGGGCTTCTGGCTCTGCAGGCTTCTGCTGCTTAGCTGCAGGATGCTCAAACTAGAGTGCTCTGCCTTTTTGCTGCTGACAGACTGACCAAATGATTTCAGCAGGTCTGTAGCGAGTCGGTACGTGTGTGTGTGTATGTATATATGTAAAATATATATATATATTTAAAATGAGTAGCTTTTAAATATTTTTTTAATTATCACTATTAACTTGAGATTGTTCATATAAGCTTGCATTGCTGTACATAACTGCAGTATTGAACACTACAGAACTAAGTTCATTCCTTTGAATCCTTTACTCATTAAATAAATTTGCTTGTGTACATACATCTGATATGTGTCCAATTTCTTCCTTTTTTGTATTGATTTTTCTTTCTCATATTCTTTTCTCTAAAGACTTCATTTTGCTACTAATTTTACCTCTGTGTAGTTCTGCATCTCAAACTCTCCGAATTCAAATTCACAAGCTGCCCAATTCCAGTGCAACACAATTGGTATCCATGAAAGGGATTGGGAAGGAGAAAGGCAGGATCAGTTGCATGTCCACTTTTCACGTGTATTTGTGTAACCTCTTCTGGTCCTCCATCATTGTAGGTTCTGTAATCTCCACAAGCAACATAATTCCTTCACTATCATTCACTACCTCATGATTAGAAACATTTTCCTGGTACCAAAGCCGTATTGCAGTTTTTATACATAATAACCAATGTGTATTTATGCTTCTATTGACTATGCATCTTTATAGTTTGCAGGGCAGTAAGGATTTAGAAACATGAACCACCTTAAAAAGTGAAAAATGTGTTTCTAATTTGTAAGTGTTATCACATGGAACCATTCAGAATCCTGTCCTGCTCTTCAGTTTGTTGAAATTCTTGTAAAAAGTATAAAAATGGGAAAACTTGAAGATAACTAGGATTTTAGCTAAGTGGTCACTTTGGATTCATTCCCAAGCAAAGAATGGTAATAAGACTTCGATTTAGACTTAAAACTTACATTAATGGATAAATTTAAGCAGGTATTTTAAATGCAAGCTAATTTCACTTTAGTAGATACATTATAAATGAAGTCCCACCAATCATTCATTATTCACATATGTACATTTATTTTTTTCGTGTTTCAGTGCCATCCATGCACTGTTTAGATCATTCATGTATTGATTTTTCTAGTTTTATCTGAAAAGTAGATCCAGAGAAAATGATGCATGTAGCAGTGGCAGTAGAGCATCTCTCCCCATCCCCAGGTGGGAATCTGCTGTGCTCTATGTTCTGTATGCCAGATACGGCTTGCACTGTCTTCTGCAAGGCAAAGCTGCTGAATTCATGTAGCCTACACCTGAGAATGAAAGAGCAAAGGTAGTGGCATGAAGTTCAGCAATCCAATGATTTACTTTTAGCTGTACATTTGAATAAATTGATTTTTTTTTATGCCTTAGTTATACTCCTCAGTTTCCTGCACAAGTCAGTAAGAGGAATTAGAATGCTTATGTATATTATTAAAGAAGTTATTACATAAACGTCTTCCTGAAGACACTTATTGTTTACATTTTATTGAAGAATATAGACAGCTGATCTGGTTACACGTTTTTATACCATTGGTTTTTCATAGACACTCCAGCAGAAATTAGCAGAAATTGCCCTACCTCTCTTATCCCAAAGCCTCAGTGGGTGGGAAGAGCAGAGAGGAGGCATGTGTGTAAAAAGTTTAGCCACCATAAAATATATGGCTTTAGTCTTATGGCATTAGCCTAATAGGACAGGTTTGGAGGCTGCACATCATAGTGCTCATCCAGGTGAAGTTAAGTTATCGCATGTACTGATTTCACGCTGTCAGTATATGTCATGTTAATGGCAGTTACTAATTTTACCCTTCCAGGAAGGCACTGTGAATTATACAAAGATCCTTGTGTTAACATCAACTGTCAGAATGGTGGCACTTGTGACAGTGAAGGTCTAAATGCTACGTGTATTTGTGCACCTGGATATACAGGCAAGTAATTTGTACACTACACAGAATGTCTAGTTGCCAGTGTTCACTCTGTCCAAAAGAAGAGAAATACCAAGTAAGACTGTGTCTCTTCAAGGAAACAAATTGATTTGGACTTTGCTGAATTGTAATCAGTCTAGTGAGCATGACAAGTTCTTTATATTACTTGCAACTGCTTTGAATTTTAAAAATTTTGCAGCAAAAATGCCTGTTACTAAAGAGAATTCATTAAGCTAACAGCTATTTAACATGCCTTATAACCTTACTGCTTGAGACTAGATTGCATTTTAAAAATAACATTTTGAAGGTTTCCAGGTAAGCCAATATACTAATTGGACACTGTTGAAACTGGAAAATTTTATCCAAATACCTGCTGTCAAGATAATTTACAACCTGATGCTCTGTTAGTCATGTAAGGTAATATCCAATGAGATAGTAATAGAGAAACCCATTCATAGCTGTTTTGTAGATCAAATTGTGCTTTTTGATCTGTGCTAATTAAAGGGCATTTTTTTTTGGAAAAGAATTAGCTTTCTGTTGTATGGTGGCTGTTTCTCAGAGGCACTGATTATCTATATTATTGTATAGCGCTTCAGAATATGCATGACAAATTGTTATACCACATTTTCTTGGGATGAAACTTATATTTAAAGAAATGAGACACACATAATCTGGGTGAGGTTAGTCAAGTCACTTAGTCCTCAGACTTTGTTTTCACCTGGTTGAATGCAGATACTTCCTACTTGGAGGCTATGTGAGACTTATTTCTTGAAAGAGTTATAGAACACTTTTGACGTTCTGAGAATAAAGATGCTATTGAGCTATAAGGTGTTTTTCAGCTAGAGAAAAATTTAATGACTGATGATGTACCGGCTACATGAGGCACCCACTATACAGAAGTTTGGTTTTTTGTTTGTTTGTTTTGTTTTTTTTTCCCAATATAAGGTGAAGAATGTGAAATTGATGTAAATGACTGTGACAGCAATCCATGTCACCATGCTGGAACTTGCATAGATCAGCCTGGTGGTTACACCTGCCATTGTCCACATGGATGGGTTGGTGCAAACTGCGAAATACGTAAGTTTTGTAGTTTTCTAAAAATTTCTAAAAGTGATATAATAAATTTATATTTGTCTCTACCTATCTGCACAAATACTCTGAATCATCTGTAAATTATCAAAATTCTGTTAAATGCATTTTATTTTAGGCCATAACATTTCAAAAGTGGCTATGAAAATTAGAAAATTCTGTTTCTGGGCACCCTACTTTAAGATGTGTTGGACTAGATTGTAAGAGATGCTATCTCACAGCTGGGCACTAATCAGTTTGCCTTTTAATTGCACTTATGCTTCAGAGCTTACTTTCATACTTACCTTGGGTAAAGTGTACTTCCATAACTCTGTAAGCATGGTCTTAACAGGCTCGTATTGACTTCTGAGTACCTGCAGTTCTAGTGATGTTTCAGCAAAACAATTTTGAACTTGCTTACATAAGGAAACTAGTCCTGTGTAATTGTGCTGTGACTTGTGTGTGCATGCATTTACCACCTTTTGCAGGAATAACTTCCAATCATAGGCTGATTCCCACCAAATTTGTTAGAAAGGTAAAGGTCTCCAAAATAAAATAAGCATTTAGTAAGACTTAGAGAGGTTCCATTGGTGGGTCTAGTGAAGGCACAGCTTCAGTGTGATCTCACTACTTACTATAGAGAAAGCTTCAGTGTTAGTGCACCCTTATGGAGCAGTAGAGAGTCCATGAGAGGAAGGAAGTATGAAGCCCACCTGTGGAAGAGAGAAAAGGGAAATTAGGCTTCATTAGTTCTGCTGCTCACAGAGTTGCTTTGCATTTCCCTGATGTCTTGTTCTTGGGCTACAGATGTAAACTAGGGAGTTTAGCTGTGTGTTTAACTGCTTGAATGCTGAGGTACTGTGGTCATAGATCCCTTCAAGTCATTATACAGATACACAAGTTTGTGTGAGGGGATTTACACCACTTAGCACAGCTAATATTGCAGGGATAGGCGATAGATTAAAAAATAAACAGAAGGGACTCAGAAAACTCCTATTGTACAGTCATGAGAAACAAAGGCTGGAATGAAAAATGTTTTCTATATCTCATTTACACAAGGAGCACATGAAGCTTCTCTTTTTACTGTCTTTTACTTAAACCTTACTTAAACATATCGACTGCTTTTTAAGTTGATTTCTATTCTTGATGTTAGTCCTTACTTTAACCCAGAAGACAACTCTTCACACCTGGACTGACACAAAGGTTTTATCTTGACAGGTTTATGACCTTTTCTCCCTGTAGTTGTTGGTTGTGAATTCAGTTTCAGTGCTTTCTTTTGAAAGCAAAGACTGCAGAAGAGCATTGCTAGCTAGTCCAGAGATGGTGTCAGCACTGCCTTTTTATTGTCTCTGTGAATGGCACACACACTTCCCTGTGTGGCACAGAACCAGCGTGACGTTGGGAGCACAATGTTGTGTGCTATCTGTATGCCATATTGCTCATGCTAAAAGCAATGATGAGCTTTTACTGATAAGGTGGTTGTTAGTGATACCTGAAACACACACGTCCAAGTTGATCAGCAAGGCAGTGTAATTCTGCCTGCCTTAGCTAATAAGTATTGGGCTGACAGACAGATGAGTTTAGTTCTTGGAGAAAGCAATAATCATCCTGGAAACGTACTTCCTGGACAGTACCTCAATGTAGTAACAATTACATTTCTGTTATGTTATGGAATGAATGGATGCCAAAGGGAAACAGTGATGCTTGTTCTGGAGTCCTCCTTTGACTGTCATGATCTAGTCACTAAGAGTTTGGCTGTTTGCACCACAGATACATAGTGAGGTGCATATAAACACATGGGAAAATGAGAGAAGCAGAACAGAGGGTGGAAGGAGCCTTTTCTACTGTCCAGGTGCTCAATTATTCCTGCTTCCCCCTGTGAGGGACACATGCCCCTAAGCACTATACATGACCAGTAGGTTCAAGCTTACATCTGTGGTTGGTCAATATTAACTCCTTTCTGACCTTGTTTATAAGTGTAGGAGAGAGAGAGTGGATAAAACTGTGCTCGAACTTTGTTCTCTTGAGCGAGGGGATTGTCTCTGCTTAGTGCGTATTTCTCTACACGTAGCATCTGTTTGTAGTCGAACTGCAGTGGCCTTGCCTGCTGCTTAAGAACTTGGATTTTCTGCTTGTATTACGCACTTGCAAACTGTGTAAGTTAAAATGGTGGGAAGAAGCAACAGCACCGTGTTGTTACTGTTTTAAGCCTTTTACTGACTGATCTGTTCTTTTATCTTGTGACTGCTATGATAGGAGGCAGGGAATTATCTGAGTGTTAACTGGCATTGATAACACTGCAAGGCTGATTCTTAACCAGAAATATTAGACATTTCCTTTCCATCCCAATATTTGGAGAATAAATCATATATTATAGTTCATGGCAATTGTTCTCAGTTGAAGAGGTTGAAATTACTGGGTTTTTATCCAACAGATCAGGACAGATAATACAGTGTATATATGTAATCATAATAATAATATAGGAGATATAAAAAATGCAATTAGAAAATTCTAGTTTGGATTGGTCTTAAAGAATGAAAACAGGAAAAAAAAAAAAGATCTTTGCACAGTCACATAAAGATACATTTTGAAGAACAATTAAGTTTAAAATTGGAGGGTTACCAGTAGTTTCTTCAATAAGCTTAACATCAACAAACATCTGATGTTCCCTTGCTCTTAAAGTCACTTTGACACAGCATCAAAGTAAAATGATGTGTTGTTATGGGACACCATGATACTTCACAACAGTCAGATATAAGTATGGACATGCAGCCTCTCTAAGCAATGTAGTGGCTTATACACAAAGCTGTGGAAGCTTTCCTAAAGTGCTTGGATTTTAACGGGTATATAAAGGATTATGCAAATAGAGAGGGATTGAGTTTTGAAGAAATCACTTTGCAGAAAGGATTTAAAAGCATTTTGATCTGCGGATTTTTTCTACAGAACTATGTATCCATGGGAAGAACTTTGTGCTCTGTCTTTCCCTGAGCTACGAGTTGACCAACTGATGTGAACCCAATTCTAATCATATCTAGAAAGGCCATATCCAGCTCTTTTATAAACAGGTGCAGCACTTCTGATCTCGCTGGAGTTGTGTCAATGGTGCAGTGGATTTCTGTTCAGATCTAAAGATTGAATCCATTAGTAAATCTGCTTCTGTTCATCTTCCCATATCTCCTTGTCATATTTACCATATTGTTTCAGCAATTTGTATGTAATGGTTAACAATGTATTGGAAATTAAATTTAAACACTGCATACTGACTTCCTTTGTATTGGACCATCCCTCTGAATGCTCGAAAAGACACGATGAAACCAGGCTTCAGGCTTCTCAAGAGGGGAACAAGCTGGTGTTCAGGAGTTATTTGACTAAATAGATCACATTTTATCTTTTGTGATTTTCTGTTACTAGCCATGAAGGATGCTGTTGGTACTTAGTCTTTTTTGAAGAACAACTCTCTATTTACCATTAATAGTTCCACATTTTCTCACCAGCTGTTTTATCTGCTTGAAGTGACTACCCTAACAGGATTTCAGGGTTATCTTCTTGTCAAAGTGTGCTCTTTAATTTTCAAGTGCTGTATATACAACAAACCAGACAAAATGTATGTTGCTTGGATAAACTGTGATATTTATTATATCATCTTATGGTCCTTACCAGTGTTAGCAATTCCAATTAAATAGGACTAAATCGGTCTTAATTATAAAGAGGATATTTTCCCTTTCAAAATGAAATGCATTTACCTAAAAAGTTAAATGGAGCATTCATTGTAAAAATGCTTACAAAATGACTCATATGAATTCTCTAATGCCTGCTGGTTATTTGTTAATATCATTGCATTTTCCACTTCTATAGTAATTAATGTAATTATTTTGTAGTTATTTTGTAATTATTTATTACCAAGGTAAGCCAAACCATGCAGTTACTTGAAAACTAACATTATGAGCAATTTCCATTACAGACTGTGTGGTGTGCATTGAAATCTAATTTTTAATTAATTTTATGAACATTACTATGACAACTAAGAATACTGTGATTTTGAGCTGTCATATGTTCTTTCTAATCTTTGGAATATAAGCTGTTAATCTTCACGGTTTTATCTGGTGAGAAAGAAAGGGAGAAATTTCTCTCATCCTTATCATCCAGAGATGGAAGACACGGAATCTAAATCAGAGCTGTCTTGCCATATATCTGTGCACATTAGATCTGAATTTGGCCTAGTCTGACAACCTGACAGAAACCACTGTGTGTGACGAATGTGCTGCAGAACAGAAATAGAAACCCATCCCAAACTGCACAGGGCACAGCTGTATTCTCTCCCTCACATCCTGACTGGGCAAATTGCAGTAACAGCACTTTAGAAACATTAAATCACTGAACAATTCAGGCTGATCAAAACTTTACTGATCTCTGAAGAAGATAACATAAACATGCAGTCAGTCCTGTAAACTCAGCTCACATTTGTGGACAAAAAGTCTAAGCAAGCCCAAGCTCAGAGGTGTTTCGGGACAACCTTTGCTATTGTAAACAAAGAGCAACCATTTCTTCAAGCTCTGACCAGGTGAATCCCACATGTTACCACTTCAGGCTTTCTCCCAGCCTTCCTCTAAAATGGACTTCCCCCCCCACCCCATACTTATACATTCCCCTGCATTTCTACCGTAGATGGAGATTATATCCGCAGATGCCACTAAACTTGTGATTTCAGCTCAGGTGCTCGAATTGGTTACCTGCCATGATCAACATCCTTGAGAGGTGGCTTTTAAGAATATCTTAACATTCCCAGAACATATGCTTGATAGCCCTGTTCCCAGACTGTTTGTGATTAAGTAAAGGGAGTTTCTAAACCAGTGCAAAGCAGAAGTCCATTTGAAAAAGGAACAGTCACCTGCTAGAAGAAACTTCTGCAGAGTGTCAGACTTCTGTAGTCAGAATGATTCAAGTCTGTTCCTGATTAATGAGACCGTAGGCTTAAAAGACTGCCAAAAATGAACCCTAGAGGGAATTACAGGTTAATTAGAAATACTCTGACCCATGCTAGAGAAAAACAGATCTGAGGACATAGGCAATTGATAGACAATCTCTTTGGCATTGATGGACAACAGTTTGGGCATCAACAATATTTATAAAGAAGGTCTGGAATACATAAATACAAGAAGCCTCTTCCAGATTGGCTTTACTTTAAGGTCTGCTTTGAGACCTGTTGGGGAAATTATGCTCGAGAGAAGACTCTAGTGGGCTCAGTACTGTAGCACCTGATGAGATGCCCTTTTTGCCCTTGAAATGCTGGTTTATAAGTCTCTGCATTCTGGTGGAGATAGGCATAACAAAAGCCTGTGTTTCAAATTAAAAGCTAAGTGTGTTTAATACATATTAAATCACACATGTTAGTGGAAGAGTTCACTGACTATTAGAACAAACTGCACAGAGAATTGGTGGATTACTAGAAGCTTTTACATAAACCCTGCCTGCCTTTAGAGACCCTGTAGTATGTTATAACGTAATGCAACAATAACTAGATGACTTTCTATGACTTGGGTTATGCAAGAGATCAAACCAGAGAAGTGTTCCTGTATGACCTTAAAAATCTACAAAAAAGATGCGTGAAGGATCAAGATAGTGCTATTCAAATTTGTTGCATATTAGGCATGGTCATATATCTGTAACAGAGCCTGAGAAGGTTCGAATTACATACGCCCCTAGCTTCAAAAGTCTCCACAGAAATATTGAAAGTGAGTATCATAAAAACTTCTATTCAGCAGGAAGGTTATAAATTACTAATTAATGATAACCTTTTATTTCTTATTGGCAGATCTGCAGTGGAAGTCCGGGCATATGGCAGAGAGTCTAACAAATATGCCTCGTCACTCCCTCTACATCATAATTGGGGCTCTCTGTGTAGCCTTTGTCCTGATGCTGATCATTCTGATTGTGGGAATATGTCGCATCAGCCGCATTGAATATCAAGGCTCTTCCAGGCCAGCCTATGAAGAATTTTACAACTGTAGGAGCATTGACAGTGAATTCAGTAGTGCAATTGCTTCTATCCGACATGCCAGGTTTGTTCTGGGGATGGTAATTTAAAAGAAATCTGTTACCATACGTAATTTCAGTCCACGCGTAGTGCATTTAACTGCTGTTGGCAGAGAATGGGCTGCTTTGCTGTGAAAAGACAGGCTCATCAGCATTGCACGTTGTTCTTTTTTGATCCCTATTCTGTTCTCATCTGAAATGTGATAATCCAGCACAATTCCTTGAAAACTGAGGGAGTTATTCTGAATTTATTTGGTATAACTGGTGAAGAGGGACAGATGCAGAGTTCTTAGCCTGTAAGATCTTCTGTTTGGGGTGTAAATACTCTGATACACACAAGTAATTTGATTAGATAGCAAAGGCATGTTGATTTTTGTGACTAATTTACCAGATTATTTAGTGAGGCTCTCTTCAAATCACTCTTTCTTTGTGCTCCTGTTTGCCTCGAAATTAGGATCTTCCTTACTTGCTTTCCTAGAGAGAGTAATTTTTTTACTTTTAATTTTAACAGAGCACAAAACAGGACATTGGGTGTCAGAATAATACAAAAGTAGGACTGGAAGGGATTCAAGAGCTCAAGTGTAAGCCATTGCACTGATACAGCATTAATTATACCTAGCTCCCTGCCAACAGTTGTGTTTAAAAATCTCCAAAGGAGTTCAACAGAGTTAGAAAGGGCTTTCCTAAAATCCAACCCAGATTTTCTTTGCTATGAATTAGGCTGCTTCTTTCTTATTGCTCTTCAGGTTGTCATGAAGAATAATTTATCACTGTTCCCTTTATAGGAACTATGTATATCAGGTGTCGTGTGCCCCTCCTCTTTATTATAATAAAAAGAAACAAAGCAAACCCACCTTTTTCTTCTCTAGCCTAAACTAACCTATTCTTCCAGTATCTCCTCCTGGATCGTGTCAGCTTCTTTATTGTCTCCCTGGGACACACTCCAGATTGTCTTTCCCTTTTTTTGATGGGTGGTCCCTAAAGCTGGAAATAGTTCTCTGGATGAAGCTTTACGTGTACCAAATGAACTGAGTAATCACCTCCTGAACTGTGTTTGTGGCA